ATAGTATATAACACATTAATACAACGTGAATTGGTAGATACTGATACACTCCCTCTCAGGATCTCCTCTTTTTTGAAGTTCAAATATGGTAACCCTACAATTATCCCAAGTCATGTCTATACCTCAGCTGTGGTCATGCTGAACTCTGTCCTTTTGGTCTATGCAAGCCCCCGATACTGGACATCCATGTGAACAAAGATATATCTGTGAAAGGCACTTGCAAGTCCTTTTCCACAAGGCACAACATATAGCAGCACAAACCAGGGCAGAAATTGTCCTTAGCCTGGGCTGGTAAGGAATATCATATCTCCTGCACCTCCCCTAGCATCCTCCATTAGTTAGGCCCAATATCTACCCTCCCATGGTACAACTTGCAAGAAAGAATAGCAGCACACACAGCTTTGCATCACTGGTGGTCAGGCTGGTTCAACAAGGTGAAAGAGCACCTCTGTCTTAGTGAAGGGGAGATAAAAACAGGCCACCAAGGAAAAATTAGCCAACAGACTAAAAAGAGAGATTTGTCATTGGGCTACTTGCAGCTACAGTAAAAATCAAAGAATTACTCTGACAAGCCAGTTTGTTCTCCTTGCCATAGAGACACCAAAGGAATAAAGTACCAGTTCTTTACTTATTAGCAGATACTAGATTACTCAAGCCATAACCTATTCCCAGCAGGAACTTTTCACCCAAATGCCTCTTACACAACTAAGGGAAACAGAATGAAAATATTATTCAATTTAAATAATTGCCTGCTTCCTCAAAAGCTATTGCTCCAGCTGTAGGTAGAAGGTATCTTTTATGCCCACTTTCCTAGCAAAAGACTATAGGCCTGTTAGCTTCTCACATGGGAGAATCAGTTTCCAGCTCTCCAGCTCCAATCATTGATCCCTACAGGAAAGAGAAATTCTGGGAAGGCTAATCCCTGATTACATTTTTACTCCCCTTCCAGAAGAGGAAGTAATTAAATTCAAAACTCCTACATCCCAGGTGGATGCTCCAAGCACTGGGATAAAAGTGAGGCTCCTCCTCCTTTGGCTGGATCTTGTCTGGGGCCCAATCCAGTAGGTATGCTCAGAGTAAGCCTACAGAACCATGCACCACATCTCCTGGTTTGATGATCCAGATGCATAAATCAAGGCTTTCTGCATGTGCTCAGAAGCAGAAACTTAGGAGACTTATGGCAAAAATTTAGGCAGAGGGATTTTAAGTGCCTCTATGGTTAAACGGGAGCCTAGCAGGGCTTCTGCGACTCTCCAAAGTTCCTACATTTTGGGCTTGAGTGCCTAAATAGGGAAGTTAGGAGCCTAAATTCTTTTGGGCAATCTTGGCCCCAAACCATATTGTTCATTCATGTCATGTGTTTCATTCATAGGGATTGAGGAAGTTTCCTTTGTGTGAATTTCTAATAAAGATTTTAGAACATGACTAGTTAGAGCTAGATTGAGCTTTAAGCCCATTCCTTACATGAAGCTTCAACTCCACTGACCAAAGGAAAACTCTGATAAGGTTTCATTTCTCCTCTAGAGAAACAGTTCCCTACAGACCTTCACAAGTACTGCTTGTTTCCCCTTGTGCCTGCTCACCATTGTCTGCTGGTGGATTTGGGCACTGGAGCCAAGGAGCTACTCACCTGCTTAGGAGGGTGGCTCTACCCTACTTAGTGAGGTGCAGAGGCTGGTGTACAGATTAAAGCAATCTCCTGGTCTGATTTGCCCAGGCTCCCTCCAGCCTCATGAGCTGTTGCAGCAGCCAGGAGTAGTCACAGTACAGGAATTTACCCCAGCATAAAAAGGAGCCTTAGGACACCAGTGAATCAGGCCCCAGGGAAGAGGGATAAAAGATTTTCAAACTCTGGGAGATGATAGTATAGATTAGCAACCAGTTGCTCCAAGCATAAAAACATAGCTCAATTAGCCAGTAATTATTCCCTTGGCTCTGGAAAATGATTTCAAGTCACTGATTTTCCTCTAGCCAGTAGGTGGAAGGTACAATTAGTGTACTTTGTGACTAATATTTTGTATGTCTTGTCAAACAATCTTTCATACCTTTGTTTTCTGAACCTGTTTTAAGCAACTCACTCAGCAAGAACTTTACATCTCAGAAATGGCTGTGTTTTACTATAACCCTCACTCCCCCTTTCTAGGAATGACTTCATCTCCCATGAAAGCAAACATCAGAGGGGTGTTTAATATGCTGAAAAATGATGCAACACTGGTGAATTATTGTCAGTTCAATCTGTGGCAGTGTGTACTCTGTAAACCTCACGTTAGTGGGGTTAGTTCTAGGTACAAAACGATGTTTTATATAAATAAAATTAGAGGTATTCTATTGTGAATTAACCAACATATCAATAGTTGTTTAGTTGAGAGTGGGTGAGAAAAATACTTTCCTTTTATACTAGAAAGGCAATGAGAGCAGGGATCACAAGGAAATGGATTCACAAGAGATTGCTAGGAATATACAGTTCATATGTGCATGTATTCAACTTGAGGTGTAATGATGATTACGTATTTTTGAGTACCCAGAACTGTGTTAAAGACCGTACCTGGGGCTGTCAGCCGACGGTCAGGGCAGTGTGTGTGTGTGTGTGTGTGTGTTTCCGAGAAAAGGTTTAACGTCCGTGTCATTACTGCTAGGACCAGGGTCCTGTTGCAGAGGGTAGCCAGCAGGCCAACAAACACCCCTTATAGGAAGAGCTTATTACACCTCAGATTTTAACTGCTAGAATGCAAGATTCTTTCGCAGCGGGCAGCCTGGGAAAGACTGAGAGGTGCCCCAACTGACCTGTCAGCCCAAGCTCTTCCTATACCTGTCCCTTATGACTGACTGAAGTTCTTTTAAATTGTGCTTGGTTCTGTTACAGCAACTGAAGGAGTCAGGTTAAAAGCTTAAACAGTTACAGGTTTATTAAAAAGACTTATAAATCATATGGTTACAATGGCTATTGCTCTCTTTCTTAACTGTTAGCAAATACAGATTTTAAAAATGGTTACAAAGAAAATAAAGATAGAAAATAGAAATAATGGTACCAAGTGACAGCTTAATCTTTAAAGAGCTCTAAGTCTATGTGTATGCTTAAGACAAAGGACCACATCCAGGTACAATTTTTACCCCCTTCTGTGCCTCTCGGCTCCAGCGTGTTAGGCCAGGGCCAGTCTATCAATTCCTAGGAAAGACGAATACGAGGTGGGCGTCCCCTCGGAACCTTGGGAGATCAAACACCTAACCCGACCAGCAGATAGATGGTAGATTGACGCTCAAAGTAAATGTGCTGCTGGACCCATCTTTACACCTCTGGGGGCCCGTATCTTCTTTCTTATCTTAAGATGCCAAATTGTACTGGTCCGTTTTGTGGCGCCAGTTCTTACAAGTAAGTTTCAAGTTAATTTACACTTGCAAGAGAGATAATTAAATTGTATTAGACATTTTTTTACTGGGCGAGAGATTCCTCCCCCCGCGGACGGCTGTGTGTTCGTATCAATATGGGTTAAGTCAAGGGCACTCCTTGGCAGCCTCTTGGTCAGCAATTGGAATATCTCTGTTCATAGCCATTCACGGTCACACAGCCTGGGCCTTCTGCTCTGTGTGCCTTGTATGCTCCAGGCAAGCAAAAATGGATGTTACAGGGGGTTCCTGTCTGGCTACAGGGGTCTGAATTTGCAATGCAGGCAGGACACAAAAAATAAGTTCTGTATAAACAAAGAGAAAGGACAAGAGTAACAATAAAAAGATCAGGCAGCTTCTTAATGAGACATGCACACTTCTCAATGTTGCCAATGAATTACGTAATGCAACTTCAGCTACGTCAATAGCATAGCTGAATCCAAAATAGCTTAATTTGGCTTTTGGCACAGTCTACACAGCAGGAAGTCAAAGGAAGAATATTCTTCCTTTGACTTCCTTACTCCTCATGAAACAAGGGTTACAGGAGTCAGAGTAAGAAGTACTCCAGCTTGACATTATTTTGAAATAATGGCTTACTGTATAGATGCGCTCTTTGTTATTTTGGAATAACGTCCACTATTCAAAAATAACACTGCAGTGTAGACATGCCCTGCGAGACCTATGAAAGGGTTAACCAGCAGCTCATGGTTGATGCCGTTGTATGTAAGAAACATTTTCAGAGGATATGTACAGACATGAGGATGCATTTGAAGAGTGAAGTCCTTCAATCTTATCTCTCATTAGTCGAGGTGAGGATACAGGGATACATTTCTGAAATTGACCAGAATGACACTGTTCTTCCAATTTCCTTGAGATTGAATTAATATTCCTAATAATTTCATTGTTTATTTCTAGATTTTAAAATGCTGTCACTCCTAACAGCAACTCTGAGAAGCTGTGCTCCCTAAACACATTACTACATCATTAGTGTAATTTACATCCTTATGTGTAGCGCACCTACACTCAATATTTTATGTTGCTAGTGAGTTGCAATTTGAAAGGCTGTTACTGAAAATCAAGATTGAGCTGCTGTCTAGAAGAAAATCTTTACTGGTTGTGAGTGTTCATATATGCTTTTACATCAAGTGAGTGATGTTTGCTTGTATTCTAGCCAAATACAAAATTTGTCTCAGTAGGAACTTCAGCTAACAGTTATACCTGCTTTTGGTCACCGCTTTCTGGGTCTGGATTGGAAGAGGCAGCCTGTGACAGGCCCTGTATCACATTTCCAGTCTCCAGGGTTATTAGCTCAAAGAATAATAATGTTTCCAATCCTCTGTCTGAGATTTGAACCTATGCTCTATGTTCGGTTAATTTGAACTGATCTAACAAAATTTCCTCCTGTAGTTACATTTGACTAATAGCATTCTTCACTCCCTATCCCAGTCTGCTGCATAGATTGCAGTGAACAGTTAACAAGCTGTCAGGTTGTACTCTATTATATTAATTTAATTGGGACAGTATGTTTTCAAGGGGTATTCCTTATTTATCAAATTTGACTACTAAAAAGCTTAGTTTCAGATTTGGGCTCCCTCAGAGACACAAATATGCTACACAAGCTCACCCTTTAAGCTGCAAAGCCCATGCACTTTGTCAGTTACAAATTGCAGTATGATGCATTGCAGTTTTCTTACCTATAGAGTTTCCCAGCCAAATCAAGCGATTGTTCTCCAAAGATAGTCAGCTGGGTAAATGTCAGGAGCTCAAAAAGTAAATTATAGTGCAAATAGCTTTGATATTTCTATGAAATGAAAGTAAAGAATATTTATTTTTAAAATACAGAATTTTATTTAAAACAAGTGAAAACCTTCTATTGTGACCTTTACGAGATTCCAAACAGTGACGAATTTGGTCATTACAAATAACCTTTTCTGGCAGGAGCTTTAGCAACTGGGACTTCCTTGCAGTAATATATGTGAATTAATTTTCTTCCTACAAAAGTGTGCAATATAAAATCCTTTGCAAAACATAAAGTCCTTTAAGATATCTAATCTGCAGAGATACATGTTTTAAATAGGAAAATTTTAAATGATGCACTAGTGGTAATGTCACTTGTATTCAAGGGATACATACAGATCTTTCACAATGAATTGAAAATATTTATTTCCAAAATTAGACTCTGATTCAGTATGGTGTTTAAAGACTCAAATACTGCCACTGACCTGGGATTACTGATGTGCTTAAAATTAGGCACACTCTTAAGTATATTACAGTGTTAAGGCCTTAATGCAAAAATCAGAATGTATTGCAGTCTTCTCAATTTTATTTTAACATTGCATCCCTATTTTGCATTTGTTATACAGGTCTAAAATTAAAAATCAAATTAACAAATGAAGTACGGACACTAAGGAATTAAATAAGGTATCAGTTCATACGTAAAATTATAATGCTCTATGCTGGTACTGTACGATATGGAATAAACATTATTCCATTGAAACTTGCCACAGACAATTTCCTTCTTCTATTAAGAATATTGGATAGTAAACACATGACTGGCACTTAATAAACAAGTCAGTGGAAATACAAGAATGGAAAAACCCCAAAATCTTGAGCAAGGGGTTGAAAAGTGTCAGCAAATAGGAATGAAGCATTCTGTAAAAGTAAATTGTTTATTTCTATTTTAAAAGGTCCAACTCAATGAAAAGCCTGGAACTATTAACAGGAACTCAAGTACCACAGTAATGCACTATCATGCAGCTAGACCCAGTTTAATGTAGATTTAATATTGGTTACATCACCAGCGAGCATGTGAAGTAGTAGCACCTTAGTCACTTTAAGTCCCTAGGTTTTAAGATGTCAGTCAAGGGTTGTCAGGACTTTGGATGAATGCCCTTTATGGTGAGTTTGTGTAAGACTCTACACTAAATACATACATGTTCAAATAAAGTTGAGATTTGCCAATGTGCTTTAGGGGATTTAGCCACACATACTGCATTACTTTGAATGGAATCACATGGCTCAGTCCCTAGTTCACATATGAGATTTTTTTTAACTACCTAGAAAGACTGAGTTAACTTGTATGAGATGACAAAAATTGTCATTGGCAAGCTCTACATTTTCCTAAAGCAAATTCTGCCTTAAAAACAAGCCCTTAGAGGCCTTTGATGGAAGAGTAGGTCAATTTGTCATCTTATAAACTTAGGCTTGATTTAAATTAAAAAGGGGCCTGAGCTTTATAGATTGTCTTTTTTGGGGGGGAAGGGGTGCAGAAATGTCACCTTTCCACAGTATGGTTATAAAAAAAGTGTGTCAAATTCAAGCAAACTAAGATCCATCATTTTCACCCATTCTTAGTTGTCAAGTACAATTTCAGTATTTTTCCTTACATTCAAAATGACTTAGAACTTCACACTGTCATTAATTTAAATGTCATTTATCCACTAAAAATTGAAGATAATAAATAGGAAATGAGATAACAGATTTGGGGGTGTAAACTTTGTCCTTTTGTGCCACCTTTCTAGCATTAAAACAATCATACTAGATAAAAATTTAATGTTGCATTTATGTGCAATCACTCATTAGAAAACTACAGGTAGTTTAGAAGAGCACAAATCTATCTGATGAACACCATTAGTGGTTGCTCAGCATTTCTTCCTTCTTGTGCAAGCTGTTTTTTCCACTTATTTCTTTCTACACAATTTTTTTCCCTCTGACCTCCCACAATCTTGTTCACTCTACATCCCTATGCCTCCCATAAAACATCATCCCTCCCTCATATCTTAACCCCACAACCCTGCTGCTTTTTCTCCATGGCTACATCTACACTGCAGGCTTTTTGCGCAAGAAAGCCTGTTCTTGCGCAAAAACTTGTGGAGCATCTACACTGCAAGTGTGTTCTTGCTCAAGTAAGTTTATAGTAAAGCGTTGGAACAGAGGGCAACACTTGCACAAGAAGGCAGTGTTGAGAGGCAATAGGGGTTTCTTAAACAAGAGAGCACCCACACTGCCCTGGATGCTCTTGCACAAAAGCTCATGGCAGTGTGGATGTGCTCTTGCACAAGACTTTTTGTGCAAGAACTCTTGAGCAAAACAGTTCTTGCACAAGAAGCCTGTAGTATAGACGTATGCTTCCCCATATCCTCTGTCACCCTCACACTCCTTTTCTATACAGCCCTTCAACTACTTCTTTGCTCTGAAGGACATTTCTAAATGGTGTATTGTGGGGATACTGGAATAGAGCTGTAGGAGACTTGAAATGTGGAAAAAGAGTTTGAGGGAATAGGGTTTGGTTAAGGGTGCCACCTGTATGAACACCATGGATGCCTACTGCCTCTGCTTTGAGGCATCAATCTCTGAAACACTTCCCTGATGTTATTCCTGGCTACATTGTTTAGTTGTTTTATTGTTCAATAAATTACTTCAACACACCCAGTTACAAGACCTGGATCTGAATCTCTCAGTTCATTTCATTACTTCCCACAGAATCAGGCACATAGAAGTGCTCACTCACCACAGAAGCACCTTCTTGTAGCTGCTATGCCTGGCTATTTCCCTACCAGCAGTCACAGTATGGCTGGAGTGGTGTCTCTTTGACCTAGTTGGCCTTCTGGACAGGTTATACATTAGTCCATCCCTTCCAGTTGGGCACAAAAAGTTTAACCAGTTATAATCCAATGACAAGTTTTCCTTCTGTCTCTGAGTTCTGTGGGGGTTGGGGAACCCAAGCCCTCACTCCACTCTGTGTTTACTCTAAGGATCCTAGAGCTAGGTCAATGCCTACTAGCATCCAGAATTATTTCTGCCCCAGAAAGCAAATACAAGCCCTGTTTCTCTCCCCCAAGGGCAGGGGGTGGGCAAGGGCTTGCTCCTGACTTTATAATCACCACCCAGGACCCTCCCCAGCTGGGCTCCATTATTAATCAAGCCTAGTTTGCTAGCTCTCTCTCCCAGGTGCTCCCAAATATGTTAATTGGCCTCTCCTTCAGGATTTGTGTCTGGGTATACCCCCTGTGCAAGACAGATTTTAGATACTAGATGCAAATCTTGAAATGTACATTAGGCATACAAAATGGCTACTGTTTTTCTTCCCTGTTGCCCAGTAACTGTCACAAAGTCTGTCTAAGCCTTCCCCTTTTCCTTCAAATTTTCCAGCTGCCTTCAGTAGCAGCAGGTTTTATATCCTCAATATAGAGGTCTTTCTACTGAAGTTAATGGGAATAGGATCAAGTCCAAAGACAAGAAATGGGTAAAATTAAAGCAGCATTCACAACCAGCCCCCCAAGATGGATTCAGCAGTCATGTGAAAGGTTAGAGAGGGAGAGAGACCCAGAGTAAAGAGCAGGAATTATATGAAAGAGGAACTGAGGAAGATAGTGACTTAACCTCAGATGTCAGACCTTCTACTTAAACTTCATCTGCAATACAAAAAGACTTTTTCTGCCTTCCTAAAAAGGCTTGTGTCAACCTTAGCAGCAGTATGAAGCTCTGCAATGTATTTAATTGGTTCTCTTTTTCTCCTGTGTTGAATACATTTTGTTTTATTTAACCCAATAGAAGTAATTGGCTGTTCTTAAGGTAGTTTTTGCAAGTCATACTGAAGAGAGGCAACTGACCCTTTTATCACCAAGATGAGGGGTGTGAGGCTCAGAACAGCCTGAGGTGTCATTCAAAAGACAAACCATAAGATCTCATATTGCAATAAACTTTCTGATTGCAGCATAAGAAAGCCCAAAATGCTAAGGAAGGGAGTTGTGTTTAAAGGTGAAAGTATATTTAATCTTTTCTTTTCTGTATACTCAGCTTTCACCTCTCAAGCACATTTCTTATTATCCCATTGCATTTTTCCACTCAGTATTTCTTAAACTTTGTAAGAAATGTAGTAAGTTCGTTAAAGTATAATTTTATTAGCTTGGCTCCAAATTAAAATAAAATTAATATTAATGACCCAGTTTCACTAGAAGCACTGAGAAATGTTACCATATAAACACAATAGAACTTTTACACATTAATAGGGTTCTCAGTGGGCTTGATTTCTGGCAAGGTTTCTAAGCAGTGGTAAACATTGCTTTTACAAAACTTTTATTCATAAAATAGAAATTAATAGAAGTGATTTTGTAAAGGAAGCCAAAGAATCATTAGCATGTAATTGGAAATGTACTAATGATTACTATTATGATTATTAATAATGATAATTTGCATTTGTACAGTACCTTACATCTTCAGTTCTCACCAGCTTGTGAGAATTTTGCTGTCTTCCATTATCTTTGCCTCTTCTGCAAGTAAAATAGATGGAACCCAAAGATCAAAGAACCAGCTGTACATTAACCCAGCAGGGATGGTAGGGATTGGGATTTCCCCCCAAAATGTATTAGAACACATTATTTAGGTTTCAGAGCAACTCTGAGTGCATATAAATTATACAAAATACTAAGCCACATAGTCATCAGAAATTTGTTTTAAAGAAAGTGGGAAATGGCTCTGAGAAAACTTTTCATGGAAATATCTCTCTATGTTCCAGTGTGCTCCAAGTCAGAGTCCATTTTGCAGAAAGTGATGAGTGGGTAATTCTTCCTCAGATGCCCTGAGGCTATTTCAGAGATGTTGGCCTCAGACTGATCTCATCCATATTTGTGCACTTAATTGACTGATCCCATAGAAATGGACCCTTCCTCTGGTATTACATATGTACATTGAATAACTGGACCTTAAGTGACTGGATTACATGCACAAATCTACTTATCTATTGGTGTGGTGTAAACACTAAGGGTATGTCTATACTTGTACCCTCTTTTGAGAGAGGGATGCAAATGAGACATTCAAAATTGCAAATGAAGCCGGGATTTAAATATCCCATGCTTCATTTGCATATTTGCATTCTGGTGCTATTTTGAAATAGTGCTATTTCGAAATAACAGACGCTGTTAAGACGTAGTTATTTCAAGAGAAACCCCTTCTCTCAAAATAACCCTTATTCCTTTTACAATGAGGTTTACCAGTTATTTTGAGAGAAGGGCAAATAACTGGTAAATCTCATTGTATGAGGAATAAGGGTTATTTTGAGAGAAGGGTTTTCTCTCGAAATAACCACGTCTTAACAGTGTCTGTTATTTCGAAATAGCACCATAATGCGAATATACAAATGAAGCATGGGATATTTAAATCCCGGCTTCATATGCAATTTTGAATGTCTTCATTTGCATCCTTCTCTTGAAAGATAGACAGAGACAGAGAAGACAAGGTCATACAGGAAGTTCTAAGGTAGTATCTTAACCACAATAGAATCCTTCCTCTAAATTACAGGCATGCAATATCAGAGGTCATGATTGAAAATTTGACCCTGATATAATATTGAGTCCTCTCTATGCCTGTGACTTCTTTGGATCATACATGTTTGGACTGGAATTGTGATAGATGTAGCAATATCTTGCAATATTCTCAAATAAATCTTACTGAATTACATTTAAGTATCTTATGAGCCCTTTGAATTAAATGCAAATGGTATGTATTATTGTCAGTCTGGATGATCAAAAGACTACATTTAACAGGAATTTGGGGGAGGAGAAGCAATGTGTGAAATGGAATGTAAATTCTCCTCCTCTTGTCCTTGCTTACACAAAAACCTTTTGAAGGTTTTGAAGCTGTGCCTTGAGGAGAAGCACATTGTCTGCTGATTACATATTCCCAGAATCTCAAGATGAAAGAGCAAAACTGTATAAAGGACAGGCTGACTTATTCATGTTTGTTCTTGTTCTAACAAACAAAAACGAAACAAAACAAAAAAACACCCCTCATAACATAAGTTAACCTCTGTGGGGGGTATGAAGACTGAACACCTATTACCCTTGCTGGAGATGGAGATGATCACTAGTTTGGAATTACCAAGGAGATGGGATCTTGGGAAAGGAAGGCATTTTTCAGAATAATATGACCACGAAGAAGTCAATGTTCACAGATGCAACATTCTGATATTATTCACGTATATTAGATAACCTCAGTATCTCAGATACAGCGGCGTGTTCATTGTTGATCAATGCTGACTTTTTATTGGTGATCTCTATGTGCACAAAACAACATTACAGACATGGGGCACCAATTTCTGCTCTATGTTTTTCAGATTAAGGACTTATTCCAACTGTCCACTGGGGTGAGTTGAAGGTTTCCTATTGACTACAATGTGAGTTGGATCAGTCTATAATTATCCTATGTCAGTAGAACTGTTTTTACATAGTATATGCCATGTAGGCAAAAGCCACATGATCCAGACCCAAAATAGCAATTTAAATACAATTCAAATATCACCAGTGTGATAACTTCAGAACGAGGGCAGTATATATAGCCTATGCCTGGCAATGATAAAAGACTCTAGAGCATTCATCACAGCTTGTAATCTGGGCAACTCTGTTGGGAGGTCTGTAAAGTAAAATGTTGTCATAGTAAAACAAAGGATGCAAACAATATATAAATCTCTTCACACTAAGACATTGGAGGCCAAATATTTATTAAATAGTAATGTGGTTTTCTAACTGCAGATGATGCATGCGATACAAAAGACAGAATGAAGATAAATACTGCAGCAACATCTGTAAAAACACTGTGATCACCATCAATCTGTATTTCAGAAGAATGAGCAATGCCTCTGCAACCAGGTGCTCCAGTTCATAAAAATTCCTGTGATGAGATATTACATTTAAAAATAAATGTTGGGACACTTATGTCTGAGCCTCTGTCAGGCAGGATAAGCAAAATCAGAAAATAAAGCCAGGTAGAGTTGAGGATTATCAGCAAAGCAGTGAAAATTGAGTCCATACTGTAGGAAAACTGAAGCCATTGGGGTCATATAAATACTAAAAAGCACCAAGCAAAGAACAAAGCCCTGAGGAACTACATTAACTTGACCTTAATACTTCAATGCATAAGATACAAATTGTGACCATTTAAGTAAATAAGAAGAAAACTAGGTAAATACTGAACTAGGCACTCCTACAAGGTGTTTCAATTGATCTGAGAGGACCTCATGATCTATAGTCAGCAGTATTTAATACAAGTCTAGGAGCTTGATTTTGATGACAAAAATGCAAGCACACATCGCTGCACATACACTGAATGGTTTTTGCGAGACATCAGATTTGATCTGTAAATGTACATAAATATAAAGAAATTCCTGAAATCAGCCTGTAACAAAAGAATACACCACAGGCTTTAATAATGACTACCTTGGTTCAGTGACCTGACTAAAATCCAGCAGAAACTTGCTGTAATGTATAAAGTGCACCAGTGAAGAGGAAACCACAGTTGCATCAACCCCCTTCCCAGAACTTCTGTCTTTAAAGTGAACTAAGTGCACATTAAAGGTGCTAGATTGACTGAAGCCCTCTATCTACAAAACTTGTACACAATGGGTAGTATTTATTTGAATATAACATAAAACACATACCCGGACTGTAGTTATTACTATTATTATTTTTTAGTACTGTACATTTGTGTGACACAGAAAAAGAAAAAGAAAGAAAGAAAGAAAGAAAGAAAGAAAGAAAGAAAGAAAGAAAGAAAGAAAGAAACTCACCTGGCCTTGGAGCATTTATAATTGTAGGGTAATTCTACACTGCAATCCAAGGTATGATGTGGCTTAAGTAACTATACCCATGGTAGCATGGCTAAAAATAGCAATGTTGTCCACAGCAGCACAGGCTTCAGTACAGACAGTACAAGCCCACCGAGTCCTCTTCCAGGATGTACACATATTGCTGGCCTTGCACTGAAACCTGTGCTATTGTTTCTTCACGGCTCTTTTTAGCACCGCTAGCTAGTTTAAAGTAAATGAAGGAGGCCTACATGAGCTGCAGTCACATTTCCACTTGCTATGTAGACACCCTTGAGACTATACAAATACAGGGCATGAAGGGATGTGGATAGAGAACAGGGAGGCTTAAAACAAATACCAATTAACCGGGCCCATATAAAGAAAGCAAATCCTAGAAGTTCTGAGATTCATCAGAAGAGACAGAATTAGGGACTGCAGGAAGGTATAAACTTGGGGTATGTCTACACTGCAGGCTTTTTCCGCAAGAAGGCAGTGTGGATGAGCAGCAGGGGTTTCTTGTGCAAGAAACCCCTATGGCTAAAACGGACATCAGAGCTTTCTTACACAAGAGAGCGTCCATGCTGCCATGGACACTCTTGCACAAAAGCACATGGTAGTGTGGAATTTCAGAGACTACCAGCTCTTGCGCAAGACCTTTTGCGCAAAACAGTTCTTGCGCAAGAAGCCTGTAATGTAGACACAGCCTAGATGATTGTTGGAGAATAACAGAAACTTAGAACATTAACTTTATGTGAAGTTCAAAACTACCTTTTCCCTCTTACTGCAGAATTTCAGAGACTACTAGCTTCTCTAGCCCAGACACGTCTTCGTTTAAGCAACCATTATTTGATACAGTTATATTTTCAGGAGACAGGGAAGCTCTGTTATTGGAGTGCCTTGTGCACAGACAAATGAGAGCCTATAATCAGAATAAAGTCAACTGATCTTCATTCCAATTCCATGCACCATTCTTCCAAAAGAAGAACATAATTGGGACTCCACAGACTGGATAGTGCTCACTCATGCTAGAATGGGCAGCGAAAGTTATCTGGTTTCATTAAGTGCCTGGCAGCCACAACATAGCCTGAGGGAAACCCTGAGAAGTGTTATTTAGTAACAAGCTCATGGAGAGCTAAAAGATTGGGCCACTGCAGTCAAAACTCCTATACCAGATGCCGGTGACACTCCAAATCAGGCAGGGGAATCAGTACTTGGGCTGAAGAAAAATGGATAAAAATGGATAAGGCCTCTCCACATTGCTCCACCTAAACTGTTGACCAAAAATCCAGCCACCTCGTCTCAGTATAAATAGACAAAGATGACACACAGACAAAACTAGGAAACCCAAAGAATTCAAATGTGATTAACTGACATTTCATTTATTTTAGTTTTGGCAAAGGCAAGTGGAAAGCAGATTTTGATAAACAAGCCACATTGTATAAGACAGCTGAATGAAGAGAAAAAAGTTCCCAGAATGTCAGGACCAGTCATTATAGCCCAATCAGAATTATTTTCACCTCAGAAGTCAATAGGTTGCAGTTTGTCACAGCCATTTTATACCTTTCAGAAATACAGCAGATGATTTTCCACTCAGAATCTACTCTCGTTCCTCCTCCTCATTTTTTCCTCCCTCCTCATTTCTTCCTCCCTCCTTTGGTGTCTTCCTTGTTACCTTAGTTCTTATTCTGCATA